GAGAGGCACCCGTCGACTGTTGCCGTTTCGTGGGCGACTTTGGCGAAGAGGGCCCACGATGGGCGACCTGCACTACGGTGCCTTGTTGAGTCAGAGATGGTGATTTGCGAGGCTTAGGAGTCTGAGTGCAGTTGTGAGGGAGTAGGGTCTAGGGATGGACTTGATGAGATTATAGCTTGGAGTCTACTTTGAAGCGCTACAGAACATTAAGTATGGGATGGGCATGTAGTATCGTCGCCTCCCCTTAACACTAACCCTCCCCAGCCCGTGATTTTCAATAATCTCGACAAGAGCTTATGTAGACACGATATGTTCAGCCACTCAGCAGTGTGTTGGAGGAGTTGTAAATGCGGGACAAGAGATTGATCTATTACATGCTTCCAGAATGCCTCACAGCAGGATCTGTATTTCTAAGAAGTTTGGGGGGGGGGGGGCTTGGGGCTCAGGGGTCTGTAGGGGCAGCATAGCGCAGCTGGCGCAATTAAGCAATGTTTAAAGTTGCAGGAGATGCCATAGCAGATGTAATGTTGTCTTCGCTATAATCAGGAATCATGCTCCTACCCTTGGTAAGCTTACTGAGCGAAATCGTGTGACCCACACCCCACCACAACATGGTCAACCTTTAATCACAACTCTAGGCATAAGGGTTCCCCTAACTTACGGTAGTTACTAGTTACAGACTTCAGGGTCCACAGCAGGTACTGCGTATAGGCTTGGAGTCCTAGGGATGTCTAGGGTAAACTTCCTAACCCAGTGGGTTCAGGGGTTATAGTCCCCCTTAAGTAGATAGAATGTAGGGGTTATATAGGGGTTATATAGGGATAATGGAAAAGAAAATGGAAACTACAGCCCTCAAACCTGGCTTAGCTTTGGGTCTAGGGCTTTGCGGTCGCTCAGTCCAAGCTTAGATAGGCTTATGGTCAGCCAGCTCTTGGAGCAGACTTGTAATGTTTAGGGCTTCGGGCCACATTGTTTGTTCAGAGTCTTTGGGCTAAGGGTTATTCTTTGAAGGTAAACTGCAGGCATTTAAGCCTAAAGCCTAGAGCCCAAACCCCAAGCCTTACCGCCTATGTCCCAGATCCTAAGCCCTAAATGTAGGGCCCGGGTCTACTAGAAATGGTGAATACCTTGAGCTCTTCGGAGCCTTAGGGTAAGCCACCCGACAATAAGACAACGCCCAGACGCCGGAAGACACGACGGACTGGAAAGGATCAGAGGACTGATCCTTTAGGGGAGAAGTTTGGGTGTAGGTATAGTGTTTAGAGTGTAGGCATGCCGTAGGGTTTAAGTTTTGGAGTTTGGGGTTCAATTGTGGCTGATGGGTTCAAGGCTTACGGGCGCCAGCTTGAGGAGGTAGTTCAGACACGATTTTGTCAAAGAATTTCATCTGGAATGGATATACCCGGTACACTTCACCTTAGAACTATAGGAGCTAGTGGGGTGTTGGTATAGACTAGAAGACCCCAGTCCTGAGGAACTTTGGCAGGATAGCTACCATGACAAAGACAAAGCTGAAGATGAGGCTACCCCAAGTGTGGATACCTTTACTTATAAAACGCGAAGGACACTTATTATTTAGTGGTTACGAGATGATTACCGGCCACCCCCTTTATTATGCAGGGGTTGCTCTGACAAACTCCTACACGATTACCCTGCATATGCCTCCCACAATCCCCGTATAGGTCTTGCATGAAATCGCTGCTTGGGAGGCGCCTCCTGGCCAAATCTCTTAAGCCAAGCGCCGCACGTAGACCGCGAAGTCTCAACCAGAAGCCGAAAACGCCAGCGCCCGTAGGCCTCGGGCAGAGCACCTACCTAGAACTTATGGAACCCACCATTGAGACCATGTCATGTGTATATTCAGAATAGAACCACAATTGATTCTCCACTATTCGAACTATGGAAGTCCCTGAGCACTTTTACATTAGATCCTAATCAGAAGCCACAACTGAGCCCTCGAGGATGACATTGGCGTGTTCCTCTGGAGTGGCACCGGCAAACTCCTGACAAAGCTGAGCATGAACGTGGACATGCACAGGCCATCTAGACTCATGGATCCCTCGCCCTAGTTAGGTTCATGTAGAGCAAATTGGGAACAGCATGCAGCCATGAAAGTGTAGTTGCCTCTGCGGCTTGCATGGCCAGCGGAGTATTCCGATGCACAAGTACAGATAAGCGCCCATGGACGGCGGCCTCACATAATCGTTGAGATTGGAGACCTGAAGCTGGTCAAGAAGCCCCTCGGGCCCTTGGGACCATTCGGAGATTAATAGCAATATTGAGATTTCTCATTCGAGGGTCCGTGAGACATCTTGTAAGTACACATTAAGAAGCGCTCGCATTGTAAACCAAAAACGGCATCTGCGTGTCTCCGTCGCATAAGTTTGAAAGACTCTCTGACTGACAGGGCCGTCGTGCGGGACAGACTGGGCATCTACAGCATGAACACGGACCTGCCACGTTGACATGGCGCAGTGTTGCGCTTGGAGTTTGGAAAGGTTCAGGGTCGCCCCTGTGGAATTTGCGGCCAGTCGGGGTTTTCGGTTTTGAAGGTCAAGGGAATGCCAATGACCCGCAGTGCTCAGGAACTTTATGCGCTAGTACTCAAGCTTTTGCGAAGACAGTTTTATAGACTGAGTTGCTTGGTGGTAGAGTCGATACTAGAGTTTCACAAGACAATATAAAAGGGGGTTTAGCTTTTTCCTGTGCTGGCAGGTCCGATTATTTTCATCTTTTGGATACTTGGACCCTGGGGATATGCCTAGTTGCCGATAGTTTGGAGTTTCTCAACAACATAATTGCTGTAGATGCACCCTGAGAGGACCCCCCCTCATACTCTGCCAGTGCGCACATACCTCTAGGACCCCAAAGGACCCCGGAAAGGCATGGCGGTTTGACTTGGGACATAGTGAAGCACATGTCCCCACCCAGAATAATGACTCCCTTGGAACTCTGAGGTGACAATTTCACGACTAAAAGTCGAGAACCTCTTCCCCCGAAATTCTGAACCCTAAGCTCTCAATCTATAGTGCCAGCCCTAAATTTACTACTCTCAAAACCAACGGTTCCTGCTCAAGTCTCCAGCTGTCGCGCCACCGCCACGGCGACTTGGGAGGAAATTTTAGGGCGGCGGGGACCAGGCCCCCAACATCTGCCCTGAAAGGGGTGGTGGGGGTCCAACTTTGGGCAAGACGCCAGGGACACTCTCCAAAGCAAGGAAAGAAATCAGATCGCAGGGTTTTAGATTTGAAGTGTTTTAGCAGCTGTGCTTTTAGGTTGTAGTACAACCGTCTTTGCAGGAATGTGACAGGTAAAGAGTTCTAAGGAACCCCGAACCGGATCCGAGCACTCCCCAAAACAGCAAAGGTTCGAAAGGATGCCCCTAAATACGTAACACGTATGTATGTAGTATGTATGTACTGTATATAATGTACCATAAGATATACTTCGCAAGGGCCCATACCAAGGGCCCATACTACTAACCCTAGACTAAACCCAACATCCTGAACCCCAAGCCTTCAATCCACTTTAAATCTCTATCCCCAAAGATATAGTACGAATCCTAAACCTTAAACCAACAGCCGTGGCTATTTGCAGGAGGGTAAGCCAAAGCTAGCTAACAAGATCAAGCGCGTGTCTGCGGCACCACGGTAGCAAGAAGGTTTGGAGTAGAGTTGTGAGCTTTAGGGTGTACCTGACCTCGGCCTTAAGAGTATTTGAAACGATGCCCCAACGCCTCCACAAATAGTTCTATATACTTTTTCAGGTAGGCTAAATCCTTGGGCTTCATAGACCCACTTGACTTGAGTGTCGAAGACTACAATGAAGGCTAACTTTCCAGATATGGGCAAAGAGCAGGATTGAAGTGTCCACACAGGTGGTTTAAGGATTTAGGGTTTGGAGTCCGCAGCTCACGTTAGCTGAAGGCCGTTTAGTTTAGGAGGCTGAAAAGCAGAAGCTTGAACCATTATGATAAGATTCCTCCATATCCCTAGGCTCCCAAGCATTAAGGTTTAGGGCTTGTTGTTTGTGGTGCAAGATATCCACCATCCACCGAAGCACCCACACATTGCAGGCTTGGCGGTTTAGGTCGCAGGGTCTAGGCTTGAGGCTTCAAGAACCCAAGCAGCGTATAGTACTTCGACCCACGGAAAGTATCCATGTAGGAACCTTTCTGGGCCGAACCATAGCCCAAAGCATCCACATACCCAGCATACACCTCTTGCGCAAACCTGATACTCCAGAAATTCTTACCCAACTCCGAGAACTCAAGTCTTGAGCGCTTGGACCCTTAGAGTGTAGTACTCTTGGCCCTCAGGGTTTGGGGGTCTTATTGTTGAATGACACCTTTAAAATGTTCATATGCACGTGAGCCCAAGAGATATACATGAAACAAATTAGAACATGCCTGATAGTACCTTTGCAATACCAAAGTTGCAGGATTGGCGATTCGGGTTTAGGGATAACTTCTGCAAACCTGTGATGAAATTTAGGCTCCAAATTGATCGCTTAAGCTAGGTGATACGGGGTTGCCATCAAGCAACTTTGCATGAGCTACTGGAAGAAGAAACACATTATTTACTATATTGACGCATTAATATGATGCCCTCAGCAAAGTATATGAGGGCTTCGCAGAACTCGGGGTCCCACTTCGGCAACCCCTGCAGTGAAAGCTGCTTGTAGAGGAGCAGCATTTTAAGAGATATCCATGTAATTGATTCCTGGGCTGTACCACGTGTATTTGGATCTAAGCAAGGCAAGAGAACACTAACCCATCAGGCAGTTAATTGGGCTTCCAGACCCTCAACCGTCAACTCCAGCATAGTCCTGCAGGATAGGATTCGGGGATAATCCGCGTTTGACCCATGCAGTCCATTCCTTCTTACCAGTCTCATGGTTCGCCTTCAGTTCCACCAACCCCTGCTAAAGAAGCAGAGCAACGCACCCCCGGATGAAGGGACTTACAGTAGCCTTCTCATTGATCATGGTGTCCGCACGAGGCCTGGAAGAAAAGTGGGTCGCTGATTTTCGCTTCTACTGACGGCCACTTGTCCTGCTGTCTTAGCCAAGCGCTGAAAGGAATTGATACTGTAGGGGTCCGGGTACACCGCAGCCAAATACCATCCGTAAAGGGATGTTGCAGCTGTCCTTAGTGCAAATCCCAATCTCAACGCTCGGGAGCTTGGACCCCCCCCTTCCTCTTGGGAAGGTTTGGTGTCTAGGGGTTTAAGGATTACAGAAGCCCATCTACCTGTATAACACGTTGCTGTCCTTGGACCTTCTCCACAACTTAGATTCCCTGCAAACCAGGAGACACTCCCGGTGTGTCCAAGTATCCAATAATTATTGGACTTGAGGTCCCAAATGGTAGGAAAAATGTTGGGACCTGAAGCCCGAATGCTTGGCTATTGGACTTAGGATACTCTGTTTGTAACTGGGTTTAATGATTATACTCGCATCTGTTAAGAATACCTTGCGGCGTCTTGCTACCACATTTGAGGGGTTTTGCTTTCTAGATCCTTCCAGGGTCTGGGTGGCCCTCACCCACAGAGATAAGCCCCAAAAACGCAGGTCCAGGGGGAGTCCTAAACTCGAACCCCGAAGCTAGAACAGGTAATCAAGATGGGTACTTGGGACTCTTGTCGTAGAAGTTGGTCAGCTTTCAAAATACAGCATTTCCAATTTGAATACACAGACCTATCTTATCCCAAGACCTAAGCCCTGAACCCCACACATAGATAGACACACGCGTTGCTTGGAGCTGTATACCCTAGACTCTAGATCCTGACGTCATGTACATCCATACCCTGCAGCCGGCAGATGCGGAGGCAAGGATGACTGCACAGATTATGTGGCCGTTTGGGCCATCAAAGACGGCCGCCTGGCTGGGTCTACCGAAAATGTGTAGGCTTGCAGATTAGGGTGTAGGGTTTGTGAAGGCGTCTAGCTCTGAGGGCTCTCTGTTTCAGAGTTGCAGAAGTCAGGGTCCTCAAATATGCCACGGACTTGAGGACAAGATGGGTGAGCGACAGGCATTCAAATATTTTCGTTGAGTTTCAGGGTTGTTGGGTTGGGCTGCCTCGAATCCCAGAAATGTCCAGGAACCATCCTCTGGGTCGTGCAGTTTATGGCATGACGTGTGGGGCCTGAAGTTTCATGTTTAGACAAGGCTTTGATGGTTATATGGCCGGTTACTGCACGTGGACTATACGTTGAAGTATGAAAAAAAGAATTTGGCGTTTGCTCATGAACTAGTCTGTCCAGGATCCTCAAAGTTGAGCCCTGCAAAGTATGTTCCTATGTTGGGCTTGGAGTTTGGGGCAAGGATTCTTAGCAAACTCCCATGAACCTTTCAACCTACATGCTGCGCCCTAAGCCACGACCTAGCCAACATTTGTTTGCGATGCAGGGTCATGTACTAGCGGCTGGCATGTTTGGAAACAGGCTCGTACATCCAGCAGCCATGTGAAATGATCTCAGGACCGTAAGTCATATGATCTCGAAGCAGTTGAGAACGCCAACCGGGGCCCCCAATGACTTCCTAGATCCCCTAACCTGAGAATTAAACCCCGAATCCTAACCTCTACCTAGGATAGTTGACCTGGCTTCCCTCATGAAGGGCAAAGATATCCAAGTATTAGGTGCCAGTCCCTTTGTTAAATGTACATTCAGTGGTATAGGTAAGCCGCCTGCCAAGGTGCTGTGGGTCACCTCAACGAAGACAAAACAGCCATCTCGAATCCAGACATCAATCTAGGGTCCAGGGTTTAAGTTGAGGATCGAAAGGGTCTCAGAGCTTTAAGTGTATGGATATATAGGAAGTGTTTCGGGCCCGTACATGGTACCTGCACTGGACTCCTTTTATCCAGAGGTTTGGAAGTATAGGTAAAGTAGGGTTACGAGTTAAGTTGAAGGTTTGTTTGGAAGATTTGTGCTAGTTCGTACCTGCGGCTGATACCAACCATCAAAGAAATCATGTTTGTGGTGGGTATCCGTGGCTTTGGAGTTTACGCCTCATGGATTGATGTTGTGGGGTCAAGTGCCCCTATCCATCCCTGAGCCCGCTAGGAACACTCGGAGCCATGCACGCGCATCTGGCACCCCTAAACCCTACCATGCTTTTTGACGTGTCATGCTATGCCTGCCCCGGCCTCCCCCCAACTGACATGGAACCTCATGCCACTTTTTCTTTGTTGGACTACTTCGGGTGTCCTGTTACAAGCCCAAGCCCTTGACCCCACCAACAACGCAGCGTTTACAGGGAATGGCTTCACTCCAAACCCTAAACGCTCCAGCCTTGAAATTCGCAGAAATATACATAGTGCTCTGGTACAGTGAGGAGAAGTTAAACCAGTTTCCAAAAGCAGGGGCCCATTTCGGGCGCCCCTAGATCATGAATAGGTCCATGGGTCCCCTCTGTATTAGAAGGCCGGCATATCCCTGCAACCCCGATTCCACTTACTGCTATGACTGGAGGTACCCTGAACCCTTTGCGTGCTAGCCCCTCAATCCTAAAAACTTAAATCCGTGAAACCAAACCCTAGACCCTAAACCCAGGCCCTTACAACCCTATAAACCTAATCCCGGACTTCCCTCGACTCTAAACCCGAAATCCTAACCCGGAGACTCTAGGCCCTAAACCCTAAACTCTACCAAACTGTGTGAGGTACAAGAAGGAGTGGAGTCTCTTCAAGTCAGAAGCTCCGCCTGAACCTGTTGCCATTTATGAGCAGTGCCTGGGCATCCATTCAAGGGTTTAGCGCGTAGGCTTAAGGATTCGTAGGACTTGGGGGGGTTGAGAGTTTATCAGACTGATGGTTTAGAATTTTGGGATTTTGGTAAAGATGGTTTACACGTAGATTCCGCAGCTTTTCCCTGCTGCTGCAGTTCTTCTAGCTGGTCTTAGCAACGGGATTTTGACTGAACAGCATGCTTTCATGATTGTTCTTCTTCTCACTCCTCGTCTGAACCCCATAGATGGGGCAAAGTAATTAGGGATGCGCTGAATTCGATTACTCACAGGAACTGCCTTGCCTGGGCTCTAGAGCGTCCTTACACCACGTCCCATGTCTATTCAAAATCTCACTATCCCATAACGACGGGGACCAATTGGCAGAAGGCCTCTCACATGCGATACCTTTTTCGGCAAGCCCTAAGCACCAAACCCTACACCCCGAACCACAAACTCCAAAGCAGAAGCCTCACACTCACCCCAAACCCTCAACCCTCAACCCCGCAGCCGAGGCCCGGTGAAAAGATTGACATTGACAAGCAGGGGTCAGCAACCTCGTACCTTGGCAGAATTTCACGCGGTTTAGGGTTTATGGGGTCTATAGGCCTTCCAAACTTGCCCCTGGCAAACTTCTGGGATCCCTGGGGGGGGGGTTCAAGGGTTTGTGGTTGTAGTGTCATGTAGGATTACAGCAAATGCCTGAAATGAGATTAATTATAGTTATATAGTTACCTTATACTCATCCTACTTCTAACTACCGAGGTAATGTAGTAATCTCCAGCAATCAAAACCTAAACTCTACTCCCTGAACGCAAAATCCCTAAGCCACAAACCCCTTTAAAGCCTGTGGCAAAGTGCGGGGGTTCAGCACATCCCTCGAGGGTTTTGGGAGTACCTAGGCGGTCCCTTTAAAGGGACCAAAGGCAACTATGTAGGGATGTGTAAGGGTTTGTAGGGATGTAGATACATCGCTTAGCGGTGTAGGGTTTAGGGTTTAGGTGTTTAGGCCGTGGTTTGGGATCCGGCTATGTAGTCGTAGTTTCGTTTTGGATTGGTCTACAAGGACTACTGGATTGCACCATAAGGATTCAAGTATCCGAACCGGATCCAATCAGATTTCAGAAGCTTCATAGCAGCAATTTATTCGGAACCTCCCAGACCCCGAACCCAGTATAGACCTTCAAGGCCTAACGTTAAACTTTGCCTCTTCAACCCCGAAAAAGTCAGAACTGAGAACCGCCAACCCCAAGCCACAAGGAATGAACACTAAAACGAAATCATATAACCCTATACAACCCAAATATAGCCCCGATATAACCCTAATAAAATCCCAATATACACCTGTAAGCTCTACTTCAGACCCAAAGAGCTTTACCAGCCCTAGTCGAGATCCTTCTATGAAATTCTCAAGCTAGGGGTAGACACGACGAATCAACCTTAAACAGTAGAGAGCCCTAGAACGCACAGTTGCGACCGTCCCGTTGAATCCTTGACAAAGACCAATAGAAATGTGGGCTGGCAATGGCGAAGCAGAGCTCTTGGTTTAAGATTTAGTGGTCCCGGATGGATCTGGATCTGGCACCACGTGTTTAGTATCTACAGTAAGTACTTCAGAAGCTCTAGCTGGTGGAAGATGGCAAGAAGTTATCCATCCAAGGGCTTTTCGCAAAAAATCTACCATGGAAGTGGAGAGCCCAAGGTTTGTCACGGATGTCCGAGGGGAGTTCGTCGACGTCTCAGAGTTTGATGAATTCTTTTCGGGTTGCACACTTGTTCAAGCGCACAGCCGGGGAACTTTGCAGATCACCCAGTAGTTCTACTTGGAGGTTCATGGGACTTAGTAGCTATTTATAACTGGGGCTATAACCCTACCAATACTTGGGGCAACCCCTATAAGGCCATGTAAGGGGGTTATAAGTAGGGTTTTAAGCCCAGTTATAAGTAGTTACTAAGTCCCATGAACCTTCAAGTATCATATCCCGGTGTCCCCACGAATATCCTTGTTTCGAGAAACCTTCAGATTGAGCTCTGAATAACGTGCATATTGATATCTTGACCTGTAGAGCGAGGTACCCATGTAGCAACCTTGTTGTAAGGAATTGCTTATTGCAATTTCACTGAAACCGAAGAAGGAATTTTCAAGCATCACTTTCGATGCTATCATAAAAGGGAGCCAGGAACCATAGAGAATACATGCACTGGAAGATGATACGGTTGACATTAAACACCCTGCATGAACTTACATATATATATATGTACAAGACTTTAATCCCAAAGCATGAGGTACTTAGGGTCGTGCAGATTTAAGCATCAAACGCGAGATCCCTGTCGTAGCGCCGCTTTGGCTGAGAAAAGCTGAACAGAGCACCCTATACCCTCAAACCTACCTTGCCCCAACCCCTTAAAAGGAACCAAAGCCAGTTCAATCCAGCACCAAAGGCTCTAGAAGCCAAGACAGATCCATAAGCGTGAAACCTACAACCGAGATAACTGTCCATTCAGGGATTGCATGTCAGCTTGGGTGTGTAAGTGCAGAATCGTTGCACCGTAGGTGGCTACAGAAGCTTCAATCGGGATTTGCCGCTCGCAGATAGCTACCTTTGAATCACGAATGTTATTTGGGGGCTGTGCAGCCGGGTGGCCCAGGATTAACAATGAGTTTGGGAGATTGCATAACCATAGTTAATTGCTGTGAATGATTTCCATGCGTAACGTCACTTCTTACTACGGAGGCCGGTGGCATAGGCTTGCTTTGAAGCGTCGAGCGGGAGTTTCGCAGAATCTTCCATGCAAAGTTCCAACATTTCTACAGCCCTTGTATACCGCTATGATTTGTTAGGTACCTCTGCCGTCCACACCTGAAACTAGTCGCGAAAAAATTACCCAAAGCATCCCCAATCCCTAATCTGAAAGCCACAACTCCTCAAGCCAGAATGCTCGAAGAACCCCCACCGGAATCACTCTGCAGGACATTGCTATGTGGAATTTGGAAGCGGTGACTTGACATGAAGTATTATCAATTCTTCCACTTGGGTTAGGGTTTGGGCATAGGGTTTACGGCTTAGGATTTAGAGCTTCTAGGTCTTAGTGTTTATGAGTTTTGGGTTTGAGGCCTGCTCTTGGGGCGTAAGTGTCCGAAGCAGGGCAAGGGATGGGGGCATGCGGCACAGCATTTCAGCAAAGCCGACAAAGGATTCTCTTGGAAATGAACCATTGCAGACCATACACGTCGACCTGTATATGGCTTCCGTGTTTCATGTTGCTGCGATTAATCTGTATCGCCCACAACACCTATTCCAGAGTACCGACGCGTAGTCCTGGTTTAAGATCGAACCCCAAGCACGAAACTCTAAATGCTTATCCAAGCAACCCTATACCCCTACATAGTCTTGGCATATCCCAGCAAAGCCCGCAAACTTTATCCTAGGCTCCGCCCAACATGATGTTGGTGATGCCGGACGATCCGGCCAACCTGCTAATCATGCCTGGGCGCGAGTCGGCGCGCGGTGGGGAAGGGAAGGTGATTTTTGTTGCATAGGCGCTTTGGTGCCAGGATTAGGGAGGGATGTAGGTTCTAAGAGCCTAAGGGTTTCGGAGGACAGGGTTTAGGGCTTAGGATCGAGAGTTGAGGGATCAAGTCATATACAGCTTCCCAACAAAAAATGCAAATGCCTCACTCTAGGGCTGCAAGGTCATTCCCATCCCGAAGTCTTCGATGCCCCAAGATTTTGGGATTTTGCAGCCCAGGCGGCAATAGAGGATCCTTGCAATCATGCGTTGTTTTAGGGGTTCTTCTTACCTTGCCACCTGCCCCCCGAAGAAAAAGATGCAAGCTCCCCCTCCCAACTCCCAACCCTTGAACTACAGGTTGCAGAAGTGCTGCTTGGCGCCAGTAAAGCAGACTCTGGACACTTCGAATAAAGGATCCAAGTCCCCATGCTGAAAACCCCATATCTTCTTCTGCCATCCAACCCCTGTCCTGAACCCCCAAACCCCTGAACAACTTTCAAACCACAAGCCCCAACCCACTCCAAGCCCTGAAGCCCTAAACCACAACCCTCAATCCTAAAACTTTACACCCTAAACCGCTACACCCCAAAACACACCCTGCCAAACCCGCAGTCCTAAAACCTAGATCCCCCTATACAATCCAAAAGGGGGTCCCTCTTCCACGTACAGGTTGAGCTGGTGTTGCCTCCTGTCAGCAGCATTAGACCTGGCGATTTCCCAAGATTTGGGGTCCTTCTAAAGTGGGATTATGAGGGTTATATATGGGTCCTACAGGGACATATGTCCAGGCCGTTGGGTTTAGCACGTGGGATTCAGGGCTTCGGACTTGTCTTTCCTTCTCCCCTCTAGTGCAAGAGCTTGCTGCGGAGTGCTTTATTTAGCTCAAGAAGCCCTGATACCAACAGCCACGGGTGACCGTCCTGATGATCCCTTTGCCGGTGTGAAGCCTAGAGACTAAAGAAGACTCCAAGACGCTCGAGGGTCCAAATGCACCGACAGCTCCAAGTATCATGATTTAAGGCTTCAGAAGCAAGCACATGGATGTGAGCACCCTCATGTAGGGCCCCTGTTTGGGCTTACGTGTTCGGTTGGGGAGGGCTAGCCCCTTGTATTCCAGGTCCCATCCTTCCAAGATCATCGACACAGCAGTTGTGGAGGAGACCTGTCCGCCACGTGCGCTGGGTAGGGCTTCTGCTTCAGGATCTAAGTCTACTAGGAGTGTGGGATTGGGGGTGAGGGTCTGGAGATATCAGATCTATAGGCTGCAGGGCTCAGAGTCCATAGTCTAGACTTATGGGATGTTAAGTCTCCGGTAAGAACATGCAGCTCTTCATCCTGAAGCCCAACCTAGAGATCCAAATGAGCTATCCTACGTAAACGGGTTTACGTAGGGAATGATATAGCGGAGTATTATAGGGCCTATTAAGGGGGATACTGGGAGTTTAGACTATAGCTCAAATGGCCCAAGCTGGAGTCCATTTATAGGTTAGAGGGCGCTAAGTGGTTGTTATTCATAGTTCATAGAATTACAGCCTTGATAGAACCCATAAAGCAGGACTCCGAGGGCCCTGCCATTATCGTCGGCTGCGACGATGGCGCGCTGTATGCTTGGGAGACTCGACGGCCATCTCCACTTTGATGGGCCCTGAAAATAGATACTGGAATATAGGGTTGAGGGTCTATGGTTAGGAAAGGTGACATATAGGGTTCCTCTGGGATATGCATTCAGGGACACCATAGATGAAACCACAGGTCTGGTCCTGAAGCGTGCAGGGATTGTACTAGGCTGCTGGGGAGTGGGGAAGGGAACACCGGCACTATGATAGGGATTAGAGAGCGGTTTAGGTACTACTATAGGGGGTTACTGGGGGTTGTTATAGTGATCCATTCCGGCACGGCCTCTTGAGCACCAGTAAGTCTACGAAGGATTGAGAATGAACGTTCCAGGATTCGGGCTGTGTGGGGGTCAGGACGTCTGGGCAAAGCATAACGACCTCGCACGAGCTCAAACGCATCAAAAAGAAAACCTACATGGGAACCCCGGACTGCCCCCTTTACGCTCCTTCCTACACAAGGGATGCCAAGCCTAGCCCCTTCGTTGAAGCCCCCAGGCAGGGTATCGGGTCAGGAGAAAATGGAAGGGTGAAAGGACGATTGTGGCTTAGTCGAGAAGAACTCCTGGTGCGATTGCGCAGGGTTCTTTTGCAAGGCACGTGGCTTAATATGAAACCACCTCATGTGACCAGAAAACCCCATGGTGGGCATCTACTTCCCAGTACAAGGAGTTGTCAATTTTTCTGGCCGGCTTGGCTCGTCCTGACCCTTCCACCCTAAACCCTGAGACTTGAGCATCATAAGCCTCATTGCTATCAAATTGCCTTGAACCTCTTTCCCAGTCAGCCCCTGGCCGCAATCTGAACGTAGACCGGAAAGATACCTACGATGACGGCCTACATGCACATTGCTTTGGGGGGTAATGGCCATTATTGTGGGTATTCGAGAGCTATGGGTACTCCCTCAAGCGCCTAATGCTATTGTCTGACTTCGTGTAGCTGCAGCTCAAATTCAGGACTTGAGCCATGGGGTAGCAGCCCTCTACACTAGTTAACCCTAAGTACTTGGACTTTGGACCCTTAGAGAATGATTCTGCCTGCATTGAGGATTTGTCCGGCCACGACAAGGGACAGATTTACGCAGAAATGCGCTCGCTGTCTCCCATGGAGGCCTGTTTGTAATGGTTGCAGTAGGGGGAATAAAGCTGCAAAAGGATATCTTTCTCGGGGCTTCCCCCCTGGAACTTCATTCAACTTGGATGCTGCCCCCGAAGAATCGGCCCCGAAGGGTCGACCTGTAGTAACATTACCCCAATGACATTTGCATGGTAGGCAGTATCCAGCTTAGAGGCCCCTTGAAGAAATTGTATTTTTAAGGGTCTTCGCTGCGTTCGTTTTTTGGGGAGTGTGAGACTCGTTTAGGTGTTAGGCGTTTGAGGCATCAGGGTTCAGGGTACAGGAGGTCACTTCTTGGTTGTTATCTGGGAATGGAGGAATGATGCAGCCCAACCCCATCACAAGCCTAAAAGAACTCCTCAAGTTGTCATTGGGGCGTGTTCATACCCTGATGTGTAGTAGTTCCCATGTCATGTTGCACATGATTTCCAGACAGATGCTGTAAAACCCTGCAAAGGCCCCTATATACATATGACCCTCATTAGGCCCCTTTAATCCCCATATGCCTTTACCTGCCAAACCGCCTCAAATCCGGGAACATCTTGCCCACAGAGGTCTTTTTGCCTCCGTTGCTGCTGGTGGCTTCTTCGATGCATAGCGTTTCCCTACGAGTCTTCGAAGGAAGTACGATTGACGGACAAATATCTGCATGACTGTTAGCATATGGAACATCGGACTTAGTAGTAGGTGTTGTCATTAGGTTTAGCGATTCGAAGAGTTTGAGTGGCTTTGGTGCTTTTTTTTTGTAGTTGGGGCTCTTTCTTCTTTTCTGACCCCTTGAGGGTTTCCTGGCTTTGCAAAAGTCGAAATCCTGCAGACTTCTCTTATATAGCATGCTGATGCTGAGCCCCAAGCCCAAGCCCTTCACCTGCAGTACACCGTAGCCTTCACTTAACAGCCCGATGCGGAAACCGTAAGCCCCAAACTATGCGGCATGGTGCATCGCCTTCTGCCGCACGCATCCTTTCTGTAAGTAGTATGCCGCCGTTCTAAGCATCCAGTTATGCCGTACTTGGACTTCTTTGATAACCCAGTCGCTGATCTCAAGGCTCCAACTACACAAATGCACAGGTTGAAAACTCCAATCATTAACTGAAAGCGGTACTTAGCGTCTGACCGCGAACGGGTATCAACGACGCTTGCAACCCTCATATTTTTGCCAGTGATGATTTCGCGACGTGTTTGCAATGATCCCAGGAAACAATGCCTGCGCCTACGCCTTAAACCTTCGTTACCTTACACTCTGAAACTTGCTCCCTAGACTAGAAATTGGAGTAAACCACTTGTCCACTTCTTCTTCGGGATCCCATCTATCCTGGGTTGCCCGACTGGGTTGTTGTTACGGAACTAAGTTATCGCAATAAAGAAACCCTAAATATTGACTCTCTACCCATGGGTAGTTTCAGTACCTTAGCTTCGCAGCAACTCAGTAGATCTCTCGACAATCTGCTCAGAGTAAATTAAAATTCCAGGTGCCCCCTGTGGAGACTGTCATTGTACAGGGGAATGACCTGGGCTAGACTTCGCATTCCTCAACCCTTAACTTGCATCCTAAGCCCAGACTGGGAATCGCATTAACACGAAAAAACAAACTCTGTACGGTATGGCAAGGTGAGTGCATTGCAGATGGTGTCCTTTGCATTCGGCCCTGCCATTCCGTGGAAGGAGCACATGGGGTTCAGCGGATAGGGTTTCAGGGCTTCGAAAGGTGGCTAGGAGGCAGAGTCCTGCTTCTAAGGTTCCAAGGACCCTGCAGAAAGGATTTCCAGTTTTGAGGAAGAATCGTCTTAATCCTAAACCCTTAACCTGCAAATTTGTCAGAGTCTCCGATGGCAGAGGGGAACTTACATTGGGGGATGAGGAGTCGAGGCAGAATGGTACGGAGTGAGTCCAAGAGCTTGCGCGCACTCCTTGCCTCATTGAGCAACATTGTGATGAAGAACTCCTTCACTACCTGAAGAACCTCAAGCTTTAGGGCACATTTTGTTCAGGGAGCCTGGGTGATAAAGATTTCCTTCATCATTTATTTGCCTCGGGTGACGGAGTCTTTGCAGTATATGGGTGGATGCCTTGGAACTCTATAGAGCAAATCGCTCTTGAAAAACGTCGTGGCTTAGATTGAGACACTGCTCGACTGCACACCCCGCCGCGTTGTTTTTTAACGTTAAGCCCGCAAAAAAGTCAAACCGTTGGTCCAGAGATCAAACAGACGGAGCAAGTTCTCACCTATACTCTTCTGAAACCGTCATCGCAGGAGACAGTGAAGCAGCCCGCAACGGTGACCCATTCAGTGATGATGTGGGATGCCAAGCTTTCTTCGTTTCAAGTCTGGGCTGCTAGGGGTTTGACTTGCATGTTTACGTGCTAGGTTGATGAAGTTTTAAATGCCAAGCCCTAAGCCCAAATGAAGGCAAAGCCAAAAAAGGGAGGTGCTTTGCTAGATTCCTAGTCTGCACCTTGTACCCACCTAGGGATTCACCGGTTTTGATGCTGAAGGAATTGTGGGCCTCACAGGGCCCTTTTGCGGTTCTATGTTAGTTTTGGGGAGGGCAAGCCGGACCCTCAGGCAAGGAAATTGTGTTCGGCCCCCCAATGCTCCCATACTAGTCACTCGTTGTTTCTTGTGTTCACAAGATTGCTATGCTTTCCCTGACTGCGCAGATCAGATCTCTCAACCTCAGTGCTAGACGGTTGAACGTTTGGGGCTAAAAGTTTAGGTTTATGGGTGCATCCTCGTGTTTAGGACAATGCAAACGGTCAACAAGGGTGGCCAGAGATTCTTAGGTAGTATAGCAGGTTCTTCTAGGGATGATGGAACAGTAACCCATTACATGGGTGAGGGGACTTATGGCGGTATGCCCAGGCTTAAACTCTAAACCTACACGGTATAGCGATCAGAGGACCTGATTGCCATTTTTTTCTCGTTCGTTTCCCCCCCGGCTTGCACATCTTCAAGACCCGGAAGCTTTTAGGGTGTGGGGTCTATACTGCTTAGCGGTTCGGGCCTAGGACTGAGGTTCCAGGGTTTAGGCCACAGGTTTAAGGATCAAAGCCCCGAAGGCCCCAAGGACGAGGGGTGCGCATTCCTTTACTAGAGGCGAGAAAGAGTTGCATTTCATCAGCTTCTGCTTATGCTGCTGTCCAAATTATGCAAAGGCAGTTTAACATTTAACTACAAGTCTGCCCTAAACCTCCAAGTCCCAAAGCAAACATCACGAATTCCAATCATAGGGATGGCAAAACAAGTTTTTGTTCCACCTAACTCCCTCTTGAACCTTAAAACCTAAGCATAATATGGGAGCTTCTCAAAATTCTTCTTCCTGACTCTTTATTGTCTGAAGCTCAGCTGAGGTTTTTGTAGTCTAAGGGACCTAGACATTCTGATGTATTACCCCTTTTTATTCGGGGGTCAAAGTATATCTCGAGCCCTAAGCCTCAGAATTCACTCCCTGAACATCCCAAGCCCAAAACATCCTAAACCGCAAGCCGTAAATCCACAAATCTCCAGGGCCCAAAGACTTTAATCTCTAAAGCATCCCTAGACCTTCATCCCTGACCCTGAGGGTCCAAGTACCCAAAAAGCATATACTCCCACAAAAACTTATACAACGAATCCATTTACCCAAGTCCCAAGTACCCGTTCAAGTGGACCCTCCAAACCTCAAAGCCCGAAGCTTCAATCCCCGAATCCTCATCCCTTAACCCTCCTAATCACTAGACCCGAAGCCTGATGATGATGTACTTGGACCCCTGGCCCCGTGTAAAAAGCCAAGATATGGATAAGCCCTATAGAACACCAGCTTCCATTTCATCTTCGATTTTCTTTTCTATTTGATTCTCCATTGTTGGTACCCTGATGTTGGGGACACCCCATATCCTACCTGCACTGACGCAGGTTGGACTTCAAATTCACGGTTCGGGGCCAAGTCGTCATGAGGGTTGAAGGGCTTGGACTTACCAAAGCCACGCACGTAGTTCCCCTTTGGGTGGTATACTCTTCTCGCTTGACCCGAAACCTATGCAAAACCATAGCCAAACCAAAAAACAGCTATGTGGGAGCCTCTGGGTATGGATTTGGGTTACATAAGGGTCTGGGGTTTGGGGTAGAACTTGAGTGCTTATGGTTGTTTTGGGTAAGTTTTTATGGAAGTTGCAGGGTTGGGGAAATTGCTGCAGGCTTCGCAAAGTTTCCAAAATAGCAGCGGTATCTACCTCTAGCGGCATGCTTTCAGTTGTAGGTCTTGACCTTGGGGCCCCACACCCCAGACCTTCGACGCGCTAGCAGAGGGCCGAGATGAAGGTTTGAGTCGTCAGGTGTTCCATATTGCAGGGTTTCGGGCGCTGATGTTTTAAAGCCTGCAGGACCTTGCTTCATTAAGCTGCCCAAATTCCAGCAGGACAGCACCATCTGATTTATTGGGGTCTACCTTCGGTCAGCAAGAAACCGGGGAGGTGGGCTGGGCTTTTGGCGTCTATGCACTCGAACTTTTCGTCGAAGGAAGCTCACCACAGAACCTTGAGCCTCATATCTTGAATTGTGACCCAGAATTCCTGGAAACCTGAAGTCTGAGTTTGACCCCTGCTTCCGAAAGTCAGCCTTGAGCCCTGAACTTCTAAAGCAATGCACCGCCACAAACTAACATGGAACTCCAAAAGAGGGACTAGAAGGACTACTTTCTTCTGGATGGAGGCTATTTGAGGTTTCATGTTGATTGGAGTCCCAAGCCGTGAAGCCTAAACCCTACCGACCCTCAAAGGCTCAGGTGTTGCAAGCAGAGTTCAGCCCTATAAGTTTACGCTGATGATGGCAAGTCCTGCCTGTTGGTTTCAAGACCGACCATGACAAGACCTCAAATCTTGAGCCCAAAGCCCCATGAATCAGAGGGCTTCTATTTCGGGGATCTGGAGCAACCAGAAACCCCTCAGTGTAGAAGCTGTAAAGCCTCAAGCTTTGGGCTGAGGTCAAGATCGACAAGGCCATGATCTTCTGGCCGGAGATGATCGGCATCATCCTCTTCATCTTGCTGTTCTTGCTGCGCGGCAAAGGGGGTTTGAGAAGCAGGGTTAACGTTCTGGAGCTTATGGGAGACTTCAGGGGTGGTCTCGATAGGATCTGTACAAGACTCCCATGAAGGTTCTTAAATTCGCTGCCCCTGCCCCTCTAAGCACAAGTGAGTTTAGGGTCTTGGTTTTGGGTTTGATATGGAGGTTTGATGGTTGTCGGATTGGATGGGCAAATTCAGAAATCAATTGAGGCTCCACCTGTAGGTAGACAAACACTGATAGACAAAACATCTGCTTAACGACAATAGGAATGTGCATTGATACGTATATATTTGTGCCAAGACTCGCAGTATATAGAGCTCTGCGGAACCTGTGTGGTAATGGACGTGCAGTCCGGTGTAATTCCGTACTAAGACCTTCTCAGGCAGGAAGGACTTAGGAGGCTTGACTTCCATACTGGCTCCTGGCATGGAATGAGGGAATATAACCCCTATATAATCTCTGTATAACATATTCCCTCATCCCCCACTAACTAACCACCAGTAAGTTTTGGAGGCTGAACATTCCTTGTGTTGACATGGCTAGGCTCAATAGTTTTGATGCCAAAAGATTCAAACAGAACTCGTGAAGCCAAAGCCTACACTCCATCCTCCCTATTGCATTGACGGCAAGACCCAAATCCGATCGCAAACCAGTGAACGCCAGACGTCGAGCCCAAGGACCTAGTCTAGAATACCTACACTGTACTTGCTAAAACGTGGATACCCAAACGCTAAACTTAAACCTCAAGCCCTTTGCCCTAACTCCAAACTTCTAAACTCTCATCCCTAAGCTCCCAAAATACCCAGGCCCTAAACCATTCCTAACCCTAAGCCCTCCACCAAGGCCAAAGCTCCCCAACGTGGATACCCAGTCTTTCATCTCCGAATCTTAAACTGTAAACCCCAAAGCCTTAAAGCCAAACATACCTATACGTTAATGAAAGTCAGGTTCTCGGCCTTCTCGGGATTGCCTTCCGCCGCGGATGCAACGTGCCGAAGCATCCAGCAGCCTGGATGCACCGAGAAGGGAGGGAGGAAGTTCAGTTTGATTCTACGTTTAGATGCTTATTTTCTGTTCATGTATCTATGTATTCTCTGAGTCTCAGAACATGCTGCATACAAAATGCTGAGAGCGTCTAGTGTTTGGGATGTATGTATGGTTCTGGATCGGCTTTAGGACGTAAGGCTGCTGGTTTATGGCTTTGAGTTTAGGCTTCAGGGTATGGGGGTTCGGGGTGTCAGCTCTTTGGGCTATTGCCTTAAAGAAATGACTCACTCAGGAGGGAGGGCAGCCCGCCCGGAGAGCCCATGAGTTCCAACCTGTTGCTGTCAGCCAAGCAGACGTGAAGCCGAACGAGGGTCGTTTATAGATGACCGTCCCTTTAAACTCAGGGACTTGCTACATAAGCATTTGCCATAACTCTGCCCCGCAATCAGAAACACACGCCGCCCCCTAAGATGAAACTCATGCCCCCAGTTTTCATTGCAGTTCCTCCAGGAATAATTAAAGATACACACCAATATTAGGGGAAATGATGTTCTGAATGGTTCCTGATGACATGGGCATTGGTATTTGGGTCCCGGGGCGGGGGCTACCTTGAAACAAGGGCCAGTCTCACCAACAACTCAGTTTCATTTTTGGGATTCAGGGCTACATCTCCAGCTCCCAACCCCAAGTGATACATGAGCTAAACCCCAACCCTGCATCTAAGAGCTGTAGACACTTCAACCATAAATCCTGCACCTGCTACAGTAGCCGGCTACCTCACCGTGTCTGGAGGTTCAAGTGCCGTTATACGGCAGTAGTTTGAGGATTCCCGGAAGCCTGGCAAGTTTAGTTCATAACTCCGGAATGTTGCGAGGCCTACCTAAACTCCAAGAGCAACCCCAAAAACATAACCCCTAAACCAGTAACTGAACACTCTATATTTCAAACCCTACACCCTAAGCCTGCAACCCTAAACTTTGAGCCACAGCCCGACTGTTTTGAATTTTGAACCCTAGACTATGCGCAAACCCTCTGCTCAACAGCCAAAAGTTACTCCCACAAGTCTAAACCCTGAACTCTAAACCTGCAATCTGACTCAAGCTTGCTGAGGAATTCTGCGGGCTTCAAGGTTGAGATGGAGAACGGGGCAGGGTAGCTTGGCTCTAAGACGCAGGTCTTAGGTTAGGTTTCAGGGCCCGGGTTCTGTGTCTAAGGTCTTCTTCTTGTTCCCTTAGTATGTTTTAGGCCACGATCGGGTCCCGTGTTGTCAGCAACCTCCATTCCTCAAGGCTCCTAGGGCTTGGGTGTGGTGTTGGGACTTAGTGGTGAGTTGGGTGCCAGGTTCTTCGGGTGTAACAGGGCATTCTGTTCTGTTCTCTCATTTTTCTCTTCGGCTAGCAAGAACTATCCTTCAGGAGCCCCTTAGTCGCTCAGCGCTAAGTCGTATGCAAAAGATGTAGAACTGAAATCCTAGTCCCAAACACTGAATCCTACAGCCCAACATTTGCACAGCAAAAAAATGGACACGTTGTACGGGCCTTAACCTTTGGGCCTCAATATCCCTTCCAAGAGCGCACACGTAGACCTCCTTAAAACATGCATCAAACATTGCTTCTGCTCCGAGGATCATGCACTTCTTTCTCAAGCTGCTTGTCCTTGCAGTATGGCTTTGTCGATGGGTCCGTATTATTGGGCTCCCATTTGGCCTTGTAGACTTCCGCGTCTCTTTGGCTGGGTCCTTGTGGGGTTCCAGACATTATCCTATTTGGATACTTGGAACCTCAGGGCTGAGTACCTCAGTGTTGAATCATAACCAAGTAGTGCGCGTGTCTAATGTTCAAGATTGGAAGCATGCGCCCCTGATATGGGGTCTTCCCGGTGTCAGGGCTTTCTAGAGGCTTCTGAGAGTAGCTACAGGGTGTATACTAGGAAAACAAGGTTCCCGAGGTAAACATTAGGAGCCCATACTTTTGACCTAGGGTAGCATCTTGGGCAAGTCATTGTTTCTTTTTTTGGGGGGGATGACATGCTTAGATTTGAGTGTCAGGGCATTCACTGACATGTTACATCCAACCCTGCAACATGTGTTTCTTGTACGCAGGGTTATTGTCTCGTTCTACTTTGTCAGGTAGATGCTACGACCTTGGACCGCTTGGATCTTTGCTGTGCCTTCAGCCCAATAGGTCAAGCTCAGCAGTTGGACAGAACTGAAGACGCACCACCAAATCTTTGGATTCGGAAGGAAATATGTGGTCAGGCTGCTTTCGGGGCGTAAGCTTGTTGTTTAGCTGAAGCCTGCAATACTAACACGATTGCAAGGCATGCGGTGTTGGGGCCCTAAGCTCTGAACATCAAATTCCAGAGGACCATGACCCCCCTCATGCGAGCCCCTATACCAAAAAGAACAAAGTCCCAAACCCCTAAGCCCTGAGCCGTAGAAGCCTGAACCCTATCTATCTATAGCTACCTAGTTGCCTATCTCTTCGCATTATAAGCTTCCAAGCCTAAGCCCCCCAAAACCTCTAACCTTCAATCCCTAGACTCTGAACTCTCTAATCCCTCTAGCTCCTGACTTGTGAATCCGGTCCTCACCCGAAAGGCTGGCCAAGATGTTCACATCTGTTGTGTGCCTGGATGTAAGTAAAGTCAGAGTGACTTTCAGGTTTTGGATTTAAGGTTCAGGGTTTTCGGGTGTAGGGAAACGATTTGGGGAGTCTGGGCGTTTGGGTTTCGGAGTTTAGGTATCTGGGGTGGTGGGATTTAGTGTTAAGGGACTGGGAATGTGAGGTTTTGGGTTGAGGACTTTCTTGGGCCTGTATAGGAGCATGTGGAAAACATGTGAACATACTTAAATGCAGTACATATATATATATATGGAGGGAGACATGTGTTACGTAACAATGCTCACACGGGAGGATATGTAGCGTGAACAATGTTGTTGGGTTTGTGTTGTGTGCGTGTGTGTCATCAGCTTAATCTGAAATTTCTCTTTGTGCGGTGTCCCTGTCCCTCCCTTGTCGAAAAAGAAACCTTTTGACGTCAACAGCACAGGCTCAAAGCCCTTAATCCCCAAACCCGAGAACCCCGAACCCTAAATCAGTGTTACTTCGGCTCCCACAAGAATATGTCCTATTCCCGTTATGGGGGTTTAGGATACTAGTAGCCTGGGGTTTTGCAAAAGGGGGCTCCCCAATGTTTGAAACCACATCGGTCTCTAAAGCAACCCGAACATCTACTTGGATGGTTATAACTTATAACCTACTTGTAATTGTAATCAGAATCAGGGGGCCCCAGGTATAAGTGCCCGAAGTATGGTTACCCGGCTCTACCTGGGATATTTGCAATTACAATTATAGCTAGAACCAACCTGAACCTCCAAGCATTTCATCAACTTTCAACCTGATATCAATAGCCTCCCCCAAACCCTGAGCCCCATTTTACCTGTAGGGAGGACATAGCTGAAACTGCAGGTATCTCCTGATGCAGCTGGGCTCCACCGTCCTCGTTGTGCCCATCTGCCAGTCGATTGCCGAGTCCATCAACTGCGTGAGGCATGGACCGGGTTGAGAGTGTCTTCTTAGCTAAGTGGGTACTTGTACGACAAAGTTGCGCCTATTGGGGCCAGGGAACGCAGCAGCTAGGAATTTTCAGGTTCATTCAGGGTTCTTTTCCATGCAGGTAAGGTATGCTGCAAGACAAAGTGCTGCTGTTGTCAGACGTCCGGTGTGATATGTATCTTCTTGAAGTAAGGGTACCTGGGCTGCCTTCGCAGAGCCCTGCGCTGCCGAACCGTTTTTTTGACAACCTGTACGACCAGACATGTGCGCTGAAGATTTCTCAGCCGAAGAGCTCTGAGCAAGAGCCCCCAGAAGCGGATTTGCTGTAGAGTGTCATGCGGTTGCTGACTAACTAGGCGAGGGACACCTAGGTAATAGCCCGGCCATGAACATCCTACAGTCTCTTATTATGATGGTCTTGTTTGCATCATTGGTGTCTCGGTTCCTTAGCCCTTCTTGTAGGCTAAAGCTATCTACAACCTGGGAGTCTACCATGTTGGTAGCTGGGCTTCTTAATGTCTAAGTCCCACTCCTGAGATTAAGCTGTACATCTTTAACTCTCAATCCTGGGTTCTAAGCTCTGAATTCTAAGCCCCAAGCCTTAGCCGCTAAAACCGATTTTCCCTGAACCCTATGAGTCCTGGATTCTGATTGAGGAACTGACATGAAACCCGCAGCCCTGGGCCCTCAGCCCACCTCAGCCCATACAACTTAACCCCTGAATCTTCAACCCCAAGTCCTACAACTTTTCATACTTAGTTCTGAGTACCCTTACGTGGGGTTATAGCCGTTTTTACCCTACTCGGATATCAAAAAAACCCCTCAAACCCTTAATCCCTACATGATACGCCTAAACTAAACCATGAAGTGCTTAGCCTCATATAAACCGTAAACCCATCAGTCCTCGGTCATAATTGGCATCTCCTTGAAGGCCCGAGGACACTCCCTGGACGGAGATCCTGCAACATGGTTCTGTTTGGGGGCTTAGGGTTTGGGATTTTGGGTTTAGGATATAGGATTTTGGGTCTAGGTTTTGGGTTCCGGGTTCAGGGTTTGGGAAGACTATAGCATCTTGGATTGGGGGTTTAAGCGTGCAAACCTTTGGGTGCTGACCGCAGAGAACGGCATTAAAGACTGTAAACAATAAAGTTGGGGTGCCTTGGCTTCGAGAAGCAGCCGTCTAGGGCTCTTATTTCAATAGAGGTTGAGGGCCAGGGGGATATGAGTCAAAGAGACCCCGAAAACCACATAGACAAAGAGAGATAGACGCTCTTCAATTGTGAGGGGAATCTAGAAATTCTTGCCTGGGAGACCTTGAATTTTGAATAGAAGTCTGGGTGTTGGCTCCAGTTGCCCAATCAAAGCGCTTGCTCTGCTTGCTTGATTCTAGACTCCAGGGCATGTGTTGCGTGCACGTGCACAAGACGTGGCATCGAGCAGAGAGTGGAGCTGTTGGGGTTAACCATTTTAATTTAAGGGACTCACGAGATGGACTGTGCTGAGGATATGCGGATTCCAGGTCGGCTTGTCGTACTCGTGTTTGGGCAACCTCCACTTAACGCGGGCATGTAGAAGAGAAACAGCCGGTTCACGTTAACCCCAAGAAGGCACAAGACCCAAGATTTTAAAACCTAACAAAGCAAAAGCCTGCCGCCGATCTCAGGACAGGCAATCCAAGCAACACCATTTACTTGGCGTCTGCTCCAGATGTGTCCCGGCCAGCTCAGCATGATAGCAGTTGCGTTAGGCTTTGAGGCTCTTGCTTCTAAGGCTGGAACAATGGGCCTGATATTGGGCCGTACCTGTGTCCTGGTTCCCCCTCCAAAATGCATGAGTAGGGTTTCAGTGTATCTTGTCAGCATTCAAGTTCTAGCATGTACGGCTCCCAAGGCTAGAGCTCCGGGCCTGTACTGGGCCCCATAGTTCCAACCCTGAGGTTTTGTGCTAAGTAGGCTTTATGGTCGAGGGTGAGCCTTCAGATTGTTTACATCCCTAAATGTCCCTGCACATGGAGTAGCGCAAGGGGAGGCCATGATACACCCTAAGCCCCAAACCAGGGGGCTGCCCGGGCTTGGATGTCAGAGGTCCCGCTGACATGTCTGACCTTGTTAAAGGTATGTCAGGGTTTGGCACTCAAGGCCTCCAAAATCCCGATTTGGAGACGGTATGAGATATCATGACCATGAGCCTCAACCGTAAACCTCTGATGTGATGAGGAGTTGGGTGGAGTCCACATCACAGCCTGTATGTGTAGTTACACATGTATATGCATCCTGGTTCTCAGCCCAAGCACCCTAATCTGGTTTCCTCAGATAGCACCTGCCTTTTAGGGTGCAGGATTTCGGCTTAGGTTTGACTTCAAGCTGGTGCGTCTAAACGTTTATATAAGATTCCTGTTTGGGTCTGCTATAGTTTCGAGTTTGGCATTCTTGGTTTAGAGTTTTTGGTTTAGGGTCTGGGGTCTGGGTTCAGGCTTATAGCCACCTGCCGAAAAGAAACTCCTTTGGAATATGTAGGTACTTAACATTCATGGAGCATTGGCAAAAGTATGGTAGAAGCCTGAATGATGACTGTTGCTGCCCCCTTATAGCCTAT